AGGCCATGAGTTTAATCCCCAGTATTGACAGCCGTGTGAAAAATACTACACTTCCATATCACGATGTCCAGATGTCCCTTTCCTGGTTCCCAGGCTGGGATGCAATAAGGCGCTTTGCATATCTTATAACTGACTAACCAGGTAGACATTTGGTAAGCCCGGTGGTAATGGCATGGGTTTCTGCAGAGGTGGGTGAACTTGAAAACGCCTGGGAAGCGTGGCAACTGGAGTTAATATTTTTCTTACTGATCTTTGACCTCCAAGTGTCAAAGGAGACCTGTGAGTGAGTTGGTGGCTGTACTTTCGGAAAACCAGCTTTGTGGGCAGCAGTGCCCGCAGTTTAGATGCATAGATGCAACTTCTCATTTGCAAGAAAGGAGGCTGTTCATAAATAAAACTGTGGTGAAGTCACGGTGGGGGGTGCTGGGACTTGGCCAGTTCTCAACTGTTAGTGAGGAGAAACAATTTTGAAAATGTGTGTTTTCCCAGTTGGAAAAATGAAATTTGAGCTCATTTATAAAGACCCCAGTGAGACTGCCTTCTCTAAGAATATTCCAGAAGTGTGTGTGTGTAGATGTGTTTAAAGATGTGTGTTAAGGTATGTGATTATATCTGTAGGGGTGTGTGTGTGGAATGAAGTTTATGTTGTCTAAAGGGAAGAGAATTTGTTTTCTCATTCCTTTTCTGTGTTATTTAAAAATTTTAAAAATTCTATTTATTTATGTTCTTGTGTGAGTATGTGTGTATAAGAAACAAATGTACCATGGCACCTGTACAGAGGTCAGAGGGCAGCTTGTAAGAATTGATCTCTCCTTTCTCCATCTAGGTCCCAGGGACTGAACTCAAGTAGTCAGGTTTGGTGGCAGGTGTCCTTTGACTGAGCCATCTCGCAGCCCCTGCTTCTCTTTAGGTTTAAACAAGAGCCTCAGGGGTCCTTTCAGGTTCTCTTAGGGTGAGTGAGTTGTGTACCAAGGATGTTTGACCTGGCCTTGGCATTCCTGTGTGGGGCTCTCTGAAGCGGGGGCTTCAAGGGTTCCTGTGAGGGTTTAGCCAGCTGTGTGTTCCAATCTTTTTTTTTTTTTTTTTTTTTTTTTTTTTTTTTGGTTTTTCGAGACAGGGTTTCTCTGTGGTTTTTGGAGCCTGTCCTGGAACTAGCTCTTGTAGACCAGGCTGGTCTCGAACTCACAGAGATCCGCCTGCCTCTGCCTCCCGAGTGCTGGGATTAAAGGCGTGCGCCACCACCGCCCGGCCTGTGTGTTCCAATCTTGGTGCTTCTGCTTGGTGCAACGAGAACCTCCCACCTGTGTGTGAACGGGCCCATGGATAACAAGTTTTCGAGAACTACACTGAGGTCCAGGTTCCATCCCTGTCTTCTCAGGTGGCACAGAATCAACCCAGGGTAGTGTGGGATTCAAGAGTAAGCTGCCACCAGAGTTGACTTAAGGAAACGGTCTAAATGAAGGGAGATAAACACCAACAAAGAAAGCAGATCCTAGAAGACGGGTCCAAGAGTGTTCATAACAGAATGGGGGAAAGGGCCAGTAAAATGGCTCAGTATATAAAGATGCTTGCCATCAGCCCCGCTGACTCACTAGAGCCCTGGGACACACAGGGTGGAGAGAATTGACTCTGTAGGATATCCTCTGACCTACACGAACTGTGTGTGTGTGTGTGTGTGTGTGTGTGTGTGTGTAAGAGAGAGTGCTTGTGTGTCTGAGAGTGTGTGTAAGAGAGTGTGTGTAAGAGTGTGTATGAGAATGTGTGTGAGTGTGTGTGTGCATGCATGTGTGTGAGAGAGATGTGCGTGTGTGAGAGAGAGTGTGTAAGAGAGTGTGAGAAAAAGTGTGTGTGTGTGAGAGTGTGTCTGTATCTGTGTGTGAGAGAGAGTGTGTGTGTGTCTGTATGTGTGAGAGTGTGTCTGTATCTGTGTGTGTGAGAGAGAGTGTGTGTGTGTATATGAGAAAGAGAGAGAGAGAGAGTGTGTGTCTTTTTAAAATGTAAGTGAATTGAGCTCTAGTTAAAAAAAAAAGTTTTCCCAAATCCCCAGATTCTGAGATAGCTGGCATAATTTCCTACTAGTCTAATTAAAATAGTTAAAATGACAAATGTAGCCAGGCCCAGGGTGCAGGCCCCCAGCCACACAGAAGGCTGAGGCAGGAAGACTGAAAGCTGAGGGCCAGCAGGGCTGCAGAGCGAGTTCAAAGCCACGTAGGGCCCTTCTCAACACACAGACAGCCACTTGCTTAGCATACGTGAAGCTCTGGGTCAACTCCATATCCTGAGCGGAGGGAGCCATGCTGGAGTCCAAACACTGGTCCTTCAGGAACCAGGATCTGCTGAGCCGCTCTCAAGTCCCTCCTCCTTTTTCTTTTGTTTTTTTTTGAGACAGGGTTTCTCTTTGCAGCCCTGGTTGTCCTGGAACTTGCTCTGTAGACTCAGAGATTCACCTGACTGCTTCCCCAAAGGGTGGAATTAAAGGCATGTACCCCTACACCCAATTTAAATTTTTTTCTCTTTGAGAAAAGGTCTCATGTGGTCCAGGCTAGCCTTACACACACTGGGTAGCTGAAGGTGTTTTTTCTTAATTTTAAGTGTTTGTTTTTTGTATATAAGTTTTGGCTGTATATATGTGTTTCTTAGGTCCTCTGGAACTGGTATTCTAAACAATTGTGATCTGCCATGTGGATGCTGGGAACTGAACCTAGCAGGCAGTGCTCTTAACCGCTGAAGCCAGCTCTCCAGCGTGAGGGCGATCTTGAATTCCTAATCCTCCAGTTTCTGCCTTCCAAGTGCTAGGATTATAGGCCAGTGCTGCTAGGCTCCAGCCTTGACTTGGTTTAACAGTGGTTTATCAGGCTGGGTGGCTCAGTGGTACAGCACTTACTGAGTCCATGTGAGGTCATGGGTTCTATGCCCACCACTGGGGATAGCGCACACACACACACACACACACACACACACACACACACACAGAGAGAGAGAGAGAGAGAGAGAGAGAGAGAGAGAGAGAGAGAGAGAGAGAAAATATCTACAGATAAAATATAACAGCTAAAAATCAAGAGTTTTGTATTGGAGAGATGGCCTTGTGGTTAAGAGCACTGACTCTTTTTGCAGAGGACCTGAGTTTGGTTCCCAGCCCCGAAGGTGGCTTACAACCATCTGTAACTCCAGTTTCAGGGGCTCAGATGGCTTCTTCTGACTTCCACGGGCACCCATGTGGTGCATATACTTGTAGGCAAAACAATCATACACATAAAACAAGTCAGAAAATAATTTTTTTTCTTTGAGACAGGGTTTCTCCGTGTAGCCCTGGCTGTTCTGGAACTCCCTCTGTAGGCCAGGCTGGCCTGGAACTCAGAGATCCACCTGCCTCTGCCCCAAGAAGTTCTGGGTTTAAAGGCATGTGCCACCACCCAAATGCAACAATCTTTTTAAAATCCAGATTTTAGGACTAGAGTTAGGGCGACAGTGAAGAATATGCGCGCCAAGTTCCAGGGCAGCCAGAACTGTCACACAGAGAAACCCTGTCTCCAAAAACCAAAAAAAAAAAAAAAAAAAAAAAACAAACCAAAAAAAAAAAAACCAAAAAAAAACCCAAAAAAGGATACATGCCCCTGTTCTAGAGGACCCGTGTTTGTTTGATTCCCAACACCCATGCCGATGGCTCACAACCACCCGGGACTCCAGTCCAGAGGATCTGATTTCTCTGACCACGGAACCCACACCCTCATGCACACACCCACACACAGACACCTACACATTCACATAATTAAGATTAAATAAACCTTTATGAATTTTTAAAAAGTCAATGTTTTTAAAAATATTCTTTTAAAATAAGTTACTATTTTTTAATTTTTTGTGTACATTGCTGTTATGCCTGCATGTATATTTGTATAAGGGTTTAGGATTCCTAAAAACTGGACTGTTGTGAGCTGTCATGTGGGTGCTGGGAATTGAACCCAGGCTCTGTTCCTGGAAGAGCAGCCAGTGCTCTTATCCACTGAACTAAAATATTCTTGCCCAGGTGGTGGTGGTACACACCTTTAATCTCAATGCTTGGGAAGCAAAGGCAGGTGGATCTCCAAGTTTGAGGCCAGCTTGGTCTACATAGAGTGTTCCAGGACAGCCAGGGCTACACAGAGAAACTCTGTGTCAAAAACAAACAAACAAACAAACAAACAAACTACTATCTCCAAACAAAGTTCTTGATGACCCTATTTTGCTCCTCCCCTTCGCCCTCCTCTCCTCCTGTTTCTCCCCATCTGTTTTCTCTTTTCTTTCTCCTCCTGTTCTTTTCTTTGGAACACAAGGCTTCCATGCAGTAGGCAAGTTGTCTTCGGCTCAGCTGCATCCTTCAGCATATCTGATAGTGATTTTTGTCAACTTGACACAAACTAGAGCCATCTGGGAAGAGGGGACCTCAACGGAGGAGCTGCCTCCGTCAGGTCAGCTTGTGGCTGTGTCTATGGGGGCAGTTTTTTTTTTTCCTTTTCTTTTCTCTTTTGATTGACTGATGATCAGTGTGGGCGAGTCCAGCCCACAGTGGATGGTGCCGCCCCTAGACTGGTGGTCCCTGGTGGTGTAGGAAAGTAAGTTAAGCAGTGAAGCCAGTAAGCCTCATTCCTCCACAGCCTCTGCTTCAGCTCCTGCCTCCGGGCTGCTGCGTATTCCTGCTCCGTGTTCCTTCAGTGATGGACTCTAAGCGTAAGATGTAACAAACCCTTTTCCTCCTAAGTTGCTCTTGGTTGTGGTGTTTTCTACAACAACAAAGAACAGCACCCTATTATTTTGAGGTCTCAGAGATAAAGCAATTAATTGTCACCCCAGGAGGCACAAAGCAGTCGGGAGGTGTTAACACCTGTCTGTCCATTCTGGCACCTGGCTGGTACTTGAGTGGCTCTTGGCAACCAAGAGAAGGGGACAGGCTGGTCTTTTACCTATGACCTAGGAGTGCCACCAGATAAACTCCTCCAGGGGAGGAGAGAGCCTCCAGGCTGAAGATGTGGGGCTCCCTGGCAGTTGTCTGGTAAGTGCCCTTACCCAAGTTTCCCAAGAGGGTCTTTGTCTGGTCCTCCTGAGAACTGAGGACTAGGGGAACCCCGAGCTTCTATTATGCCGCTTGGAGCAGAAACCAAATATTTTCTTCCAGAATCCAGAAGCTTCATGTCTTGAGAGAAAGAGGTGGGTGGTCAGCTCTGTAGCTGCCTGAGGACAGAAAGAAGGGAGAAGCCAGTATTCTCAATGAAGGCCTGGCCAGAGCCACTGTCACCGTCACCATCCCTTGTCCCAGGGAGCGCTTGTATAGAGTGTGCAAGCCCAGGGCTTGGTCCCCAGTACCACTGAAGGACAGAACAAACCCACTCAGAATAGGAGCAAGGCCTCCACTGCCAGCTTGAAGGTCAACAGTAGTTGGCACTTGGCCCTGGACTCCTTACTGCAGGGCTTTTGTGTGCTCTGTGATGTTTGTAGATCTGTGGACAAAGAGGGCGATGGACAAGCTGGGTGGGGTCGGCCAGCTGGAGGTCTGGGTCCTGTGCCAGGAACCACCCGCTTCTCATGGCTGTTCAGTGTGGAGCTCAGCTTTGGGATGTGAAGGGAAAGTTCAGGATCCATAAAAGCCACACTGGAATCTCGCTCCTAGTAGGGGCTGGAGGAGGAGATTGCGCAGGTGTAGGCTGAGCTGGCCCTGGCAAGGCGAATGTAATGCCCTTTCCTGTATAACAGCATGGGTGAGGAGAGGATGGCACCACACATCAGCAAAGCAGCTTGTTTCTCCTTTCCCAGGTCTCCCGGCCTCTCAAGCAGATTCACCTGGCCTTGGGGTAATCTTACTTTGGCTACAGGGCAGTAAAAGCCTCTGCTTTGCAAACGAATCAAATGATGATAATGTCGCCTCCTGCTGGGAGCTACGAGGATACTCTAGCAGGGGTAGACGTACGCGGAGCAGGGGTGACGAGGCCACCAGGTTGTCTCTAGAGAGAGGGTCTTTCTCTGGCTTGGTTTTAGTTTGAGATGGGGTCTTGGTGTGTAGCTCAGGCATGGCCTCAAGCTCCAGATGTTCTGGCCTCTGTTTCCAGAGTGCTGGGATTGCAGGGCTGTGCCACCATGCCTGGCTTTACTCTGGGTGGATGAAGAGCAGACAGTTGAATCTGGCAGGCCCAGCTCAGATTACAGGCTAGGGAACCAGGCTAGGCCAGAGGTTTTCAACCTGTGATCCCTTTGGGTCGAATGACCCTTTCACAGGGGTCACCTAAGACCATCAGAAAACACAGATATTTACATTACAATTCATAACAGAAGCAAAATTACAGTTATGAAATAGCACCGAAAATAATGGTATGGTCGGGGTTCATCACAGCATGAGGAACTGTATTAAAGGGTCACAGTGTTAGGAAGGTTGAGAAGCACCAGTTTAGCCCTTCTTTGCTAACCGAGTCTGGAAGACTGAGAGCCTTGGCTCTCAGCTCATTTGATACTGAAGAACTAGAGGAGCCAGCGACAGCAGCCTTTGATGGACACCTACTGTCCTTTCTTATCTGTCTTTTTTTTTTTTTTGTTTAGTTTTGTTTTGTTTTTCGAGACAGGGTTTCTCTGTGGTTTTGGAGCCTGTCCTGGAACTAGCTCTTGTAGACCAGGCTGGTTTCGAACTCACAGAGATCCGCCTGCCTCTGCCTCCCAAGTGCTGGGATCAAAGGCGTGCGCCACCACCGCCAGGCTTTGTTTTTGTTTTTGAGACAGAATTTCTCCATGAATCTGGTCTAAAGCTCAGATTCTTCCTGCTGTAGCCTTTGAAGTGCTGGGATTTAGAGGTGTATGCAGACACACTTGGATCAATTACTTAAAATATAACTTTAAACATTTGTCTCTACACACACATTCACATATATGCCTATATCCACTATATACAAATAGGAACTCACATATATTTTCCACTAGGGATCAAACCCAGGGGTTTGCACATGCCACGCGCTGTACTAACGAGCTACATCTGAAGCCCTCTACTTGAAAAAAAAAATGAAGTCTCTGGCTGGGAACGCAAAGTGGCATTGTGCTGGTTGCGTGTGTGCAAGGTCCTAAGGTCTGTTACCCAGCCCTGAAGAAACCAAATTGAAATAGGAACACATTACAGAGATTTTTATTAAATGTTGCCTTCAGTACAAAAGAGAGGTCCCCAGAGCAGATACATATACAGGCAGTCCAGAATGTTGAAATGAGTTCTCTTAATGGATGCGAAACTAGACCATAGCCACAAATCAGCAACCAACGGCACCTAGACCACAGATATCCACAGATCAGCAACCAGTGACACCTAGACCATAGATAGCCACAGATCAGCAACCAGTGACACCTAGACCACAGCCACAAATCAGCAACCAGTGACACCTAGACCATAGATAGCCACAGATCAGCAACCAGTGGCACCTAGACCATAGATAGCCACAGATCAGCAACCAGTGACACCTAGACCACAGCCACAGATCAGCAACCAGTGACACCTAGACCATAGATATCCACAGATCAGCAACCAGTGACACCTAGACCATAGATAGCCACAGATCAGCAACCAGTGACACCTAGACCATAGATAGCCACAGATCAGCAACCAGTGACACCTAGACCATAGATAGCCACAGATCAGCAACCAGTGACACCTAGACCATAGATATCCACAGATCAGCAACCAGTGACACCTAGACCACAGCCACAGATCAGCAACCAGTGACACCTAGACCATAGATATCCACAGATCAGCAACCAGTGACACCTAGACCATAGATATCCACAGATCAGCAACCAGTGACACCTAGACCACAGCCACAGATCAGCAACCAGTGACACCTAGACCACAGCCACAGATCAGCAACCAGTGACACCTAGACCACAGCCACAGATCAGCAACCAGTGACACCTAGACCATAGATAGCCACAGATCAGCAACCAGTGACACCTAGACCATAGATAGCCACAGATCAGCAACCAGTGACACCTAGACCATAGATAGCCACAGATCAGCAACCAGTGACACCTAGACCATAGATATCCACAGATCAGCAACCAGTGACACCTAGACCACAGCCACAGATCAGCAACCAGTGACACCTAGACCATAGATAGCCACAGATCAGCAACCAGTGACACCTAGACCATAGATAGCCACAGATCAGCAACCAGTGACACCTAGACCATAGATAGCCACAGATCAGCAACCAGTGACACCTAGACCATAGATATCCACAGATCAGCAACCAGTGACACCTAGACCATAGATAGCCACAGATCAGCAACCAGTGACACCTAGACCATAGCCACAGATCAGCAACCAGCGGCACTGCACCTGGATATAATGTACTTTTTTTTTTAAAAGACATTTTTTCATGTAGCCAAGCTAGCCTTAAATGTGTCATGTGGAGGTGGAGGAGAATGATTTTTTTTAAAAAATATTTATTTATTACGTATACAATATTCTGTTTGCGTGTATGTCTCCAGGCCAGAAGAGGGCACCAGACCTCATTACAGATGGTTGTGAGCCATCATGTGGTTGCTGGGAATTGAACTCAGGACCTTTGGAAGAGCAGGCAATGCTCTTAACCACTGAGCCATCTCTCCAGCGGTTCTCAACCTTTTTAATGCTGTGACCCTTTAATACAGTTCCTCACGTTGTGGTGACCCCCCCACCATAAAATTATTATATTTTTTTTACTATTTATTTATTTATTTATTTATTATGTATACAATATTCTGTCTGTGTGTATGTCTGCAGGCCAGAAGAGGGCACCAGACCTCATTCCAGATGGTTGTGAGCCACCATGTGGTTGCTGGGAATTGAACTCAGGACCTTTGGAAGAGCAGGCAATGCTCTTAACCACTGAGCCATCTCTCCAGCCCCGAGGAGAATGATTTTAAACTTCTGATCCTCCTGCTTCCACCTCCCAAGAGCTGGGATTACAGGCGTTCACGTATGGTGTTCTGGAGTGCTGGGGTTCGATTCCAGGGTTCTATGCAAGCCGGATGAAAACGCTACCAAATGGAGCTATAACTCCAAACCCTCTCACATTTTTCTGGGTCAGAACAGTTTTTCCAGTGCTCAGAGATTCCATAGCTCCAGTGATACCTCACAGAAAATGAAAGAGTAACACTCTAGAGAACTCCCAGTTTTTTTGCAGAAGCATAGTGACTTGGAGGGTCCATTCAGGAGCCGTTTTCAATTTTTCCTTTACACTTGCTATTCTAGTACCCATATGACTAGAACCCCCCCCCCCACACACACACACAGTGACTTCCGATTTTCTCCCTAGAGGAGCCACTATCTGCACCACCAAATGCAACATCTAGAACTATTTTTGATCTTTCTATAAATACAGTCACAGAAGAGATAGATGCTCTCTCATGTCTGACGTCTCTCAGTGGAACATGTAGTATGCGAGGCGTATTGCCTTTTCTTGTGCTCTGCTATCTCATAGAGTGAGCAGGTCCCAGTGCACCCATTCCCGTGCTGATAGGCATTTGGGTGGTTTCCAGTCTGAGGAAACAGCCTTGCTCTGTGGACAGCCTCATGCATGCCTTTTTGGGCACCGTGCCCGAGACACTGTTGGAACGAGATTGCTGGTCACAGGCTGCAGTGGGAGCAGCCTCAGATGGTGCTGGCTTCTGAAAGTGGTGGATTGGACCTATCTCCTAGCTTCTGGGAGCTGGAGCTTTCTCGCTGGCCTGGCTTCTGCCAGCTCTTCCGGGTGCTGTCTTTCACCCCAGGGCTATTTCTCAAATGCCACTTAAGGAGGTTGCCTTTCAGGAGTGTTTAGGCTCTTGATGCAGTCCTTCAAAACTGCTCCCCCCTTTTTTAAAAGATTCATTTATTTATGGGGCTGGAGAGATGGACTCAGAGGTTAAGAGCATTGACTGCTCTTCCAAAGGTTTTGAGTTCAATTCCCGGCAACCACATAGTGGCTCACAACCATCTATAATGAGATCTGATGCCCTCTTCTGGTGTTCAGGCAAACATACAGACAGAACACTACATACATAATAAATACATTTTAAAAAGATTTATGTATATTTTTGAGACAGGTCTCACTATGTAGCTGTGGCTGTTCTGAAGCTTGCTCTGGAGACCAGGGCTGTAGCTCTGGTTGGTGCAGTGTTTATCTAGACTGTACAGAGTTCTGAGAGCTATCCCCAACACTGCAGAGCTCACAGAGATCCAGCTGCCTCTGCCTCCCAAATTCTGGGAATAAAGGCAAGCACCACCATGCCCATCTATTTTATCTTTAAAAAGATCCTGCCTATGTGTGTGTGTCTGTGTAGGGATATGTGCAGGTGAATATGAGACCCCATAGAGGCCAAAAGAAGGCCACAGAGTCTCTGGAGCAGATGGTTGTGGAGTACGCAGTGTGGGAGTGTGCCAGGAACTGAAGTCCTCTGCGAGAGTACTACACACTCTTGTTTAGCTGCCTAAAAATCACGTGGAGGTGGTGGCGCACACCTTCGATCCCAGCATGCATGAGACAAGGCAGGAGGGGGATCTCTGTGAGTTCGAGGCCTGCCTGGTCTACAGGGTGAGTTCCAGGACAGCCACGGCTACAGAGAGAAACCCTGAAGTGCATCTCTGCCTTCCCACCTAGGGTCTCCAGAACTTCTGATTTACTCTAAGTTCAAATCTCGGTACTCCTCTAGGGTGTATCTGCCCTCCCCACACACCTGCTGTCTGGCCCTTTGTCAGACTTTTGTACTGACCTTTGTGTTTAGTTCCTTGAAAGCATCAGATCGTTCCCCCATGCTTGTGGGTTCGTACCTCCTGCTCTCTCTGGCTGGAATATACCTCTCTGGATGAAAACCTGGAATTCTTTGCTGCCCGTCGTAGTTCAAATGCCACAGCTTACTGATGGTATTTTTCTTGAAGGTTTATCTTGAGTATGAGCATATGTGGCTCTGTGCCAGAAGAGGGCGCCAGATCTCATTATAGACTGTTACGAGCCACCCTGTGGTTGCTGGGAATTGAACTCAGGACCTCTGGAAGAGCAGCTGGTGCTCTTAACTGTTGAGCCATTCATTTCTCCAGCCCCGATTAGTGATGTTTTATCTGATGTAAAAACTTTGAAATAAGCAGAAAGAGTTATTTTTTTTTTGTTTTTAAAAAATATTTATTTATTATGTATACAATATTCTGTCTGTGTGTATGTCTGCAGGCCAGAAGAGGGCACCAGACCTCATTCCAGATGGTTGTGAGCCACCATGTGGTTGCCGGGAATTGAACTCAGGACCTTTGGAAGAACAGGCAATGCTCTTAACCACTGAGCCGTCTCTTCAGGCCTTATTTATTTGTTTTTAACATTGATTTATGTCACTGATCAGTTATTGATATTTTAACATATACCCGTGTGCTACTGCACACATGGGGGGGGGGCAGAGACAATTTTGTGGAGTTGGTTCTCTCCTCCTCCATGTGGGTTCCAGGGATCCCACTCTGTTTATCAGGCTTGGTGGCGAGCACTTTCCCCCATGAGCCAGCTCACAGACCTGAGACTTTTAACAATTGCAGGCTCTGTCTGTTGGAAGTGGCTTGCTTAGTGCTGACATTTGCTCTCTCTGACTCCAGCATTCCTTAGTTTGTGATGCTTTGTTATTATTTTATTATTTATTACTTATGTGTTACATATGCATATACATGTGTGAATATACCTTGTCAAGGGAGGCATGCACGTACAAGAGTGTGTATGGAGGTGCATGTGTGCACTTGTATGTGTGTGGGGGGCCAGAGGTAGACACTGAGATCCTCCTTTATTGTCCTTATTATTCTCCACATTATTTTATTTATTTGTATTTTTTTGTTTTGTTTTTTTTTGATTTTTTCTTTGAGACAAGGTCTCTCTACGTAGTAGCCCTGGCTGTCCTGGAACTCGCTCTGTAGACCAGGCTTACCTTGAACTCACAGAGATCCCCCTGCCCGTGCCTCTGAGTGCTGGGATAAAAAGTGCGCATCATAACTACTGGCTTATTTATTTATTTATTTATTTATTTATCTATTTATTATTCTCAATCTCCTCATTGCTTCATTATTGCTATTATTATTATAATTATTTTATGAGTGTTTTGAGACAGGGTCTCACTATGTAGCTCTGGCTGGACTGGAACTCACTACATATACCAGGCTGACCCTGAACCCACAGAGCTCCACCTGCTTCTGATTCCCAGTTCTGGGATTAAAGATGTGACCACCATGCTCGCTTCACTTTTTTTTTTTCTGACTCTGATTTATTTGATCTATCCAGTCTGCAAATGACACAATCTTCCAGTCTTCCAATCTTATTTGTCAGGTTGAGAAACAATGAAAAATCCTATTATTTGCAAATACAACATTTTCTTTATCCATTCTTCGGTTGAGGCTATCCATAACTTGCAAACTGTGAATATAGGCATTTAGGGATTTCTATTATACTCCCCCCCCCTTTTTTTTTTTGTTTCTGAGACAGGGTTTTGTAGTGTAGCTTTGGAGCCTGTCCTAGAACTTGCTCTGTATACCAGGCTGGGCTCGAACTCAGAGATTCATCTACCTCTCCCAAGTGCTGGGATTTAAGGCATGCAGGGTGGTGACCTGGCCCCTTCTCTCACTGAACCTGGGACTCACCAATCCAGACAGACTAGCTGGCCAGGGAGCTGATAGGGAGCGCATGACTCAGCCCCGCCCCCTCCTCCCAGTGCTAGGATCCCAGGCATGTATCACCCTGGTTGGCTTCTAACATGGACACTAGGAATCCAAACTCAAGTCTTCATGCTTGCCTGGCTGGTACTTAGCCAATGGAGCCGACTGTCCAACCCCTTGTGGAGCCTTAAGCTGCGGACAGCCCTGGGGCCTGCAAAGGATTCTTGTCAGGGACTGGTGCGTGTGACCAGGGCTCTTTTCATTCAGAAATTCTGCCTCCCATGGACTGAGCTGGTTTCCAGTCTGTTTGCAAATTCCTTCCGACATCCTGGATCTAGAAAATATATCTGTTCTTTTTTCTCTCTCTCTCCTTTGAACTGGCTGTAAATCTGCAGGGTTTCTTCATTAATAATTATTTAATAAAAATTTTCAGACAGATTTATTTTAAGAATTCTGTATGAGCCGGGTGGTGGTGGCACACTCCTTTTAATCCCAGCACTCGGGAGGCAGAAGCAGGTGGATCTCTGTGAATTCGAGGCCAGCCTGGTCTACAGAGTGAGTTCCAGGACAGCCAGGGCTACACAGAGAAACCCTATCTCGAAAAAAAAAAAAAAAAAAAAAAACAGAAAATCAAAACAAAATTTGTATGAGAACCACAATGTTGTCTTTTTGGAAATTATCTTTTTACATTGATTTTCCAGGAAACTCTCTCCCCCAACCCCCCACCTCCGGCTTTCTGAATCTTATCCCTGTTTCTGCTTCAGTGCTTGCTGTGGGAGATCCCTCTATTCATTTTTTCCTTGACATTGCTGCTTGGTCTCTGTCCTGGCTGCTGCCCACGGTAGGCACCATGCAAACGATATATCTCTAGGGCGAGGGTGTAACTCAGTGGTAAAGCGCTTGCTTAGCATTCTAATGGCCCGGATTTGACCCCTAGCAGAGCAAAAATAAAAAATAATAAAATCCATAGATGCATAAATATAATTGACTGAATGAAGTGTAGCGGAGATATTGTGCACCTGTGATCTGGGCGTATGGTAGGCAAAGACGGGAGGGTTACAAGTTAGAGGCCAGTCTGGGCTAGATGGTGAGGTTAAGGTAGCCTAGGCTACATGGTGGAAACATGTCCTAAAACACAACATGACAAAACAGCAATAAAAAGTAAAAGAAAACAAAACCAGAGATGAGGTATAATTGCCTGAGTGAATAAAGTCAGGCTAGGCAGCCCTGCTGGGCTGGGCACCCGCTCCACACCCTTCTCCCTTCCTCACAGGGCCATCTGTCTGGCTTGTATTCAGCCTGCTGTGTTCCCGTGGGTCCTCCCCTTCGGGTCAAACAAGGACAGGCCTCGCCCGGCACATGGAGCTCTGACAGGTAAATCAATCACGCTTTTCTGGTTCACACCAGGCTTCAGGCGGTTCCCCTCTTCTCAGACTGATAACCTGCCTGCCTGCTGTGGTTACGTGGAAGTCAGAAGCATTCATAGCCAGTGCTTAGCCCGGACGGACGGCAGACCCCTCTGCCACCTAGCACTCGCCGAGTGCTTGAGTTCCCAGGGATGGCTTCAGTTAGAGCCCGGGCTCCCTCTCACTGAGGAAGCCCTTGTTTTGAAATAGCCGGCACGGGCTCACGGGCTCACGTACCAGGCTTCGCATGCAGTCTTGGGGTCCACTGATTTGTTTTGCTCTTTTGACCTTTGTTGTTTGTTTTGATATAGGGTCTCAATATATAGCCTTGGTTGGCCTGGAACTCATTATACAGACCTGGCTGGCTTTGAATGCATAGAGATTTGCCTCTCAAGTGCTGGGATTAAAGACGTGTACCACCACACAGGGAAATCTAACTCATTTTTTTAAAAAATATTTATTTATTATGTATAATTTATTTATTTATTATGTATACAATATTCTGTCTGTATGCCTGAAGGCCAGAAGAGGGCACCAGATATCTTTACAGATGGTTGTGAGCCACCATGTGGTTGCTGGGAATTGAACTCAGGACCTTTGGAAGAGCAGGCAATGCTCTTAACCACTGAGCCATCTCTCCAGCCCCCAATCTAACTCATTTTTACATCAGAGTCTGGAAGGGTGAGGGACTTGTCTTCTCCCCAGCGATGAGTAGGAGAGCCCTGACTTCAGCCAGGCAGCAGAACCCTGGGCCCCCACCGTCAGCCCCTCACCACACAGAAGACATTACAAGGGGAACAGATAGATATTTGTTGAGTATTCATCCTGGGCCAAGCCCTATGTTGTGGCCCTCTCCCACACTCCCTGCTGATTTTTTTTTTAAAGAAATAACTTCTAATTTTATTCATTATTGTTAGTGTACATGTGTGTGTATATGTGTATGCAGTGGGGGGGCACACGTGCCATGGCATATTTAGAGGAAAGTTTTTTTCTTTTTGGTTTTTCGAGACAGGGTTTCTCTGTGGTTTTGGAGCCTGTCCTGGAACTAGCTCTTGTAGACCAGGCTGGTCTCGAACTCACAGAGACCCGCCTGCCTCTGCCTCCCGAGTGCTGGGATTAAAGGCGTGCGCCACCATCGCCCTGCTAGAAGACAGTTTTGTGGAGCTGGTTCTCTCCTTCCCTCTTTATATGGTATCCTGGTGTGTGTGTGTGTGTGTGTGTGTGTGTGTGTGTGTATACATATATGTGAACCTGACACAAACGAAAGTTATCTGAGAAGACGAACCTCAATTGAGAAAATGCCTCCATCAGAATGCCCACAGACAAGACTGTGAGGCATTTTCTCTCCCTCCCTCCTCCCTACCTCTCTTCCCCCCTCCTTTCCTTCCCTTTCTCCCTCCCTTCCTTTTAGATTTATTTTATTTATCATGTACTTTATGGATATGAGTGTTTTGTCCGCATGTTTTATCTGCACACCAGTAGAGAGCATCGTATCCTATGGGACTACAGTGTTAAGATGGTCGTGAGCCACCACGCGGATGCTGGAAATTGAACTCAGGGCCTCTGAAGAAAGGCCAGTGCTCTTCCACTGAGCTAATTCTCCAGCCACAAAGTGGAGGAGGCTTTTCGGTTTTTATTTTATTTTGTTTTCTGTTTGTTTGCTTGTTTGTTTTTGAGACAGGGTCTCATTATTATCTGGCCTGGAGCTCACAGAGATCCACTTGCCTGAGGATCTGGCAGGCAATCCTCCTGAGGCCTGGGATTAAAGGCGCATGCATACCTGGCCCTGCATTTTCTTGATTGATTGACTGAGGAAGGAGGAGCAGTTACTGTGGGCAATGCTGCCTGTGAGCAGGTGGTCCTGAGTTGTATAAGAAAGCAGACTGAGCAAGCGGGTGTGTGTGTGTGTATGTGTGTGTGTGTACAACAAGCCAGTAAGCAGCACCCCTCCCTCCATGGCCTGCTTTTGGTTCCTGCCTCTAGACTCCTGCCCTATATTTAATAAACCCTTTCCTTCCCAAGTCTCCTTTAACCAAGTCTTTTATCACAGCGACAGGAACCTAAGGCACACAGGTTCTGAGGATCTAAATGAGGTTGGCAGACCAACATGTTTGGGTGGTAAGCACTAGGTACTTGCTGAGCCATCTCACCGCCCCCCCGCCTTTACAAAGTAGTTTATTTTGTGTGTATGTGTATGATAGATGCATGTGTCTGGGTGTGTGCGCCCCTTCACACACGGAGGCCAGAGGAGGGTGTTAGTTATCCGGCTCTTTCACTGAACCTGGAGTTAAGCTGGTGGTCAGCCAACCTTGGTCTCTATATCCACCAGCACTCAGTGGGAGGTGCGCGTATGGCCACGCGTGGCTGTTTACATGGGTACTGGGGACTTGAACTCAGATCCTCATGCTTGCTCAGCAGGACTCTTGTCCCCTAAGCCACATTCTCAGCCAGGTTTTCCATTGTTGAGCTTATCCGTGAGAGAGGGGATGTATAAGAACAGGGTGGGACCCTCAGGTTTGTTTGTCCCCTAGAGGGACTCTCAGCCCTCAGGAAAGGTTTTGCTGGCGGTTACCGTTCATCCCGGAGAAAAGATGAAGACTAAATTCAGGCTTTGGGAGAGAACACAGGCCAGAGTCCCCATCATGTCCCCATCACTACCGTCCCTGTCACCTTCCGTCGTCATTGTCTATATCCCTATCATCACTATTATACAATCAATTCCAGGAAGAAACTGACTAAGCAACAGGCACATGGACAGACAGACAGACAGACAGACAGACACACACACACGCACGCACGCACATACGGTAGGGCTTTAGACCCAGATGTTCTGACTCTGGTGCCTGTGCTCACCAGGAAATCACAGTGCTTCTTGTCTCCCCATAAAACACTGGCTAAGCCGGGCGGTGGTGGCACACGCCTTTAATCCCAGCACTCGAGAGGCAGAGGCAGGCGGATCTCTGTGAGTTTGAGGTCAGCCTGGGCTACAAGAGCTAGTTCCAGGACAGGCTCCAAAGCTTCAGAGAAACCCTGTCTTGAAAAAACAAAAACAAAACAAAACAAAAAACAAAACACTGATGCTAGATGCAGGGGTGAGCCCCCTCCTGGCTGATCACTGTGGCTAGATGCAGGGGTGAGCCCCTCCTGGCTGCTCACTGTGGCTAGATGCAGGGGGTGAGCCCCTCCTGGCTGCTCACTGAAGCAGGCTTGGAAGGAAGCCCGTCCACTCTTCCTCCTTTCCTTCCGCTCTCCCTTTTGTCTTCTCCTCCTCCTCAGCAGTAACTTCTTTACCCCACAGGGAAGGTCGAATGCTTCTCAGACTACATGACCCTGCAGGTTCCAAGGAGCCACGTGCAGGGTTTGAGGCAGTGGCTGGCATGGGTCCTGCACCCGCCGGGTAAGCTATCTTCTCAACCTCCCCCCCCCCCCCCCACGTTCTCCAATGCGTTTCTCACACCAGGGCGCGGGCACTGCAGTTCCTGAAAGGCATCGTTGGGCTACAAGCTTGCTCCTTCCCAGGCCTGCCCTGACCTTCTCCAAGGTCACAACTCTTCCCCGTTCCTACTCTTGTGTTCACGTGCTTGTCATCAGCGCCACCAGCAGGTCGCAGGGAGCAGGCACAGCCCATGTGCTCCGTGTTGATAGCTACGGTTCCTCCAGGGTTGACTCTGTCTCATGCTTAGGAGACTCCTAATAGACATTTGCTCAGTGGACAAATGGCCCCAAGCTTGGATTGAAGTGCCCATCAGGTGCTAGTATGTCCCTAAACTTAAATCACACTGTGAAGTTAATGGGACAATTTAAAAAAATGTATTTTTAAAAATTTCTGTTTATTTCATTAGTTGTGTGTGTGTGTGTGCGTGTGCTTGCATGCACACTAAAATGCAGTGTTTACAAAAATGTGCCACAGTGAGCATGTGGAGGTCAGTGGATGACTTGCAGGATTTGGTTCTCTCCTTCAACCACGAGGATCCCAGATATTGAACTCAGGTCATCAGGCTTGGTGACAAGTGCCTTTACCCACCGAGCCTTCTTGCTGGCCTGCATTCTTTTCTTTTTTCTCTTTAAACTTCTATTGCACATGTACGGGCATTTTACTGCATGTGGGTTCCTGTACCATATACCTGCACGGCTAGTGGGATCCAGAAGAGGGCGTCGGCCTCCTGGAACTGGGGTGGCAAATGGTTGTGGGTTACCCTGTGAATATTGGGAGCTAAGCCAGGTCCTCTGAAGAGCAGCAGCTGGGGCTCTTAGACACGGAGTACACTCTCCAGTCCCTGGTCCACGGTCTTACCCACTGGAACCACTAACTCATGCTTGGTGGGGACTTTCACCTAAAGTCCTAAAACAGCCAAATGGACGGCAAATTATGGCTTTCAGAAAACTTTGAGCCATGAGCTTACCCGTTTTCCAGGAGGAAGACCTTCTGGAAACGTCTGGAAGGATCCAGAATAGAGAAAACATGCCTGAAGCGCACTGCCTGTGGTGCCTTTGGTCACAGAAGCTGCAAGGAAGACACCAGAATGTTTCCTCTCCTTTGTACAAAAAAACAAAGAAATCAAGGAGGGAAGCCTTCCCATCTCAGAATGCCTTTTCCTTGTTTCCTTTCTTCCTTCCTTTCTCCTTCCCTCCCTTCCTTTCTTTCGTTTCTCCCTCCCCTTCCTTCCTTCCTTCCTTCCTTCCTTCCTTCCTTCCTTCCTTCCTTATTTATTTTTGGTTTTTCGAGACAGGGTTTCTCTGTAGCTTTTGGTGCCTGTCCTGGAACTAGCTCTTGTAGACCAGGCAGGCCTCGAACTCTCAGAGATCCGCCTGCCTCTGCCTCCCGAGTGCTGGGATTAAAGGCGTGTGCCACCACCACCCGGCGCCCTTCCTTATTTTTAATTTTTTGACCTTGCTTTATTTTTTTAAGGCAGGATCATATGGTGTAGCCCAGGCTGCCCTATGTGGTCCAGGCTGGCCCCAGACTCACAGCAGTCCTGTCTCAGTCTTCCCAGCATTGGAATTAGAGTTGTGAGCCACCAGGCCTGGCTTAGTCTGGGATTCTACAGTGTTGTCTGGGACTGCTGTGTCCTGAATCCTGGACTGGCCCTGGGATGGTCAGTCAGCCGGCGACGCCTCTGGAACCGGAGTGGCTTTGTGTATTAAAAGGCCACTTTTCCAGGAGAAAACGCGGAGGATACATTAAGCTGTCGCCTGTTCTTTGGAAAGCCATTATTAATGGAAAACAATAGATTAATAGTTTTAAAACGCTTGTTCAATAAGTAATTTTTATGGCTCTGGATAGAGCCCATTAAACACTTCTGTGTGTTATTATAAAGAAGTTTTAAGTGTAAAATCATAAAGTCAATAATCAGGGAATTAGTCACAGCAGCCAGCCACAGGCCATTAGTTTTAGACGCTGTCAGAGACACCTGTGGCTTCGGAGGAAGCGCTTTTCTTCCAGTCGGCAGTACCAGGTGGGGATGCAGAAACGACGCTGCCTGCTGCCTTCCATAAAGTTGAAGGGACAGCAAGCAGGTGCGAGCAGCGGGATGCGGGCAAATATTTACAAAGTGCAGACGTGAATGGGGAACTAAAGGGACCCGGGTCAATTTGCACATCCAGGCTGAGACACTTTATTTCCCCAGTGATGTGCCTTTCAGAGCCACAGGCTCGGCCTTGATCTGCTAAAGATAGCTGTGAAGGCTGCACGCCCTTAGAAGGGAGGCATGTCACCCGAGAGTCCCCCCCCCCCCCCCCCCCCCCGCACCCAGGCTGCCGGAGCTGTCTCCTGCAAGGGCGTATTCCTCCTCTGTCAACTATCTGGGAATGAAAAGTGTGGGCTTTGGGGCGGGAGGGTGGGGGACTTGATAAAAAAAAAATCACCTCAAAAGCAACACAAGATAATTATGGAAACAGAAGAAATCTAAAGACGATAATGAAAACTGCCTGTAATCCCTCTGCTCAGTGATATTCCTCTTTGTGTTTTCCTCATCCAATAAATGTTTACTGAGAACCCTCTACGCGCCAGATGCAGCTTAAGGCGCTAGGGATACGGCGAAGAACAAAACAGATAAATACTCTTGGCGCCATGGGGCTGGCATTTGGGTGGAGGGCAACAAGACCACTGCTGTAGTCGTAGACGTTTTTCAGCAGGCGAGGTGGTAATTGTGATGCAGAAAGGGGGCCTGAGAGCAGGGCGAGGTTAAGAGGGGGTGATGGAGCCTCGGCTGGCAGAGGCCTCGTCGACAAGGGGGATTGACTTAAAGACTTGAGAGTGGTGGACTGAGCCACACAGGTATCTAGAAGAGCGGTCCAGGCGGAAGATATTGCCAGTGAAAAGATCCCGGGTCTATCCAGGATGCATTAGAAGTAACAGGGAGGCCAGTATGGCTAAGGCAGAGGAAGGGCAGTGAGAGACTAGGTGTGTCTCACATGGGTCTCTGAATGGAGAGCACAGCCATCTGTGGCAGGCTTGAATGGGACTCTGTGGGTTGCTGTGGAGGGAAGGAGTGGGAGAGGAATGAGAAGGCAGCTTCTACAGACCAGGCTGGGCCCAGAGCTGGGAGGTGGGTGGGATGGGAGAGTCTGCATGGGTATCTGGCAGAACCAACAGACTTCCTATCTTTGCTGTTCTCCCACGCTCCAGAACAGAGCAGCTATGGGCTTATGTCTGGGTGTTGGACGCTCCTGACCTGGCCTCCGCTGTTCTCCCATGGTCCTGTCTGTTTCTGTCACAGGCGCCATGAGGGCCCCCAACCACCTGGATTCTCTTCTTACCAAATGTGGTTTCCTCTTGCGTCCTGCTCAGGAGGGCGGCTTCATCTTCAGAGCTTTGTACTCGGGCTGCTTTGTGCAGAAAGAGGTGGGTTTGGGAAACTATTGCTTTGCCGTGCTGGGGTCAGAGCTCAGGGGTCAGAACTCATGTATGCTAGGATGACAGGCAAGTGCACAGCCATTGAGTTACACATCCAGCTTCTTTTGTTGTTGCTTTGAGACAGTGTCTCCCTATGAACCCTAGCCTGGAACATACCACCTATGTAGACCAGGCTGGCCTCGAACTCACAGAGAGCTGTCTGCCTCTGCCTCCCAAATGCTGGAACTAAAGGTGTGCACCACCAACTCCACACACACACACACACACACACACACACACACACACACACCCTTTAAAAAAAGCAATCTTATTTTGAGGCAGGCTCTCTCTGCACACGCTGGCGTCGAACTCACTCTGTAGCCCAAGCAGCCCTTGGCTCCTCCTACCTCAGCCCCCTGAGTGCTGGGTTCTAGGTGTGTATCCCCACGCCTGGCTTATCATCTTCTCTCCAGCAGCCCCCCTGCTCCTCTCCTGTCAGCACTGCCCTCCTTGACAGTCCCTCACCCCCACCCCCATGTACCTCACTTCACCCCCCACTCCAGGGCTCACACTCGGGCTTCTTGCAGGGTTCCCTTGGCCTGGCATGTTGCAGCTCTGTTGCAGAAACAGCCATGTGCTGTTTGCTTAGTTGCTCACATGTGCGGAGCCTCAACTGCCTCAGCTGTAGAATGGGACCAAGGGATTTCTTACTGGGGTTGAAAGAAACAATTTGTTGTCAGGAATGAGCAGATAAAAACCCATGCTGTCTCTTTAAGGGTGACCTTCTGAAAGACAGAGCAATCCCCTGGTCCAGGGTCATCCCCAGGGACTTCCCCTGTCAGGGCTGAACTGTCACAGGCCAGAATCTGCCACGGTCCCCTGTGCCAGAGACCCTTCTGCTTGCTTCTTAGCTCTTTCATGAGACAGGCTTCTGGGAGGCCCGCGTTCATGGTGCCCGCCATGAGCAGAGGCTGACCTATAATCGTGGCCTATTAACTGCTTGTTCTTCTTTCGTTTGAACGTGTGAATTTTGCCCGACATCCAGAAAGCAAATTACAGGTTGGAAATCAGAATGTTTCAAAAAGGGACAAAAAGGTCGAAGCAGAGTGATCTCTGCATAATGAAGTGTCCCGTGATCACGTCGAGGCTGGGTGAACAGAGGGTCCGCTGCCACCCCTCATTCATTCAGGTAACAGCTTGGAAAGCCCTGGGAGGGTCAGGGAGGGCTGGGGAGGACCGGAAGGATTAAGGAGAACTGGGGAGGATGGAGAAGGGTGGGGAGGGCCAGGAAGGGTCCGGGAGGGTTCCGACAGTGGTGATGGTCATCGGGGGCTGGCTTCTCTTCAAAGGCCCAGGGAGATGACTGTGGTTCCTGAGCTTTGGGTGTAGTCCAGCAGAGCTGACAGCTAGAGACACAGGGTAGGCCCATTCTTTGTGGACATTTAATGTTGACTGGATATCACCTCCCTCTGGGCTTTTGGGCATTGAGTCATGTGTTGGGACAAGGGGTGGTGACAACTAAAGTCTCTGCCGTTGTGTTCTTTAAGTCATCCGGTGAACGTCAGAACAGCAGGAGTGTGTAGTGTGTTCTCTGTGTTTTTCTCTCTGGATTAAGGAAAATTGCTGGCTAAAAGAAAAAGTAAAAAGGCTGGACAGTGGTGGCGCACGCCTTTAATCCCAGCACTTGGGAGGCAGAGGCAGGGGGATCTCTGTGAGTTTGAGGCCAGCCTGGTCTACAAGAACTAGTTCCAGGACAGGCACCAAAGCTACAGAGAAACCCTGTCTCGAAGAACCACTAAAAAAAAAAAAAAAGAAGGAAAGTTGCTGACTTGACATCAGAGTCTAGTCTCTCCTAGTCTTCTCCCCATCCCTGTCTTCTCTCTCTCTCTCTCTCTCTCTCTCTCTCTCTCTCTCTCTCTTTCTCTCATGTATGCGATGAGTTCCTTGTGTGTCAGGCTTGGAGGATAGCCTCAGCAGTCAGTTCTCAACTCTCTTTCTTTGAGACAGGACCTCTCACTTGCACCTCTGTGGAGCCTCTGGGCGCTGCCTCCTGTCTTGCTATAGGCACGCTGAGATGACAGTCTCCAGCTACTGCATCTGGTTTTGTGGGGGTTCTGAGGATCCAAATTCAGGTCCCTACCCTTTTGAGGCAAACGTTTTATCCACGGAGCAATTTCAGCAGCATTGGATCCTGATTTAACCCAGATCATGTCAAAGAATTACAGCCTTCAGGTTTGGGGTGAGCAAGGCCCCAGGTTCCATCCCCGGCACCGAGGAGCGATGCACCATCCTCACTGGAAAGAACACAGGCCTATGGTGTCCTCCAGTGTGTCATTGCTTGGTGGCATCCTTAAACTCAAGTTCCTCTGTAGCCCTGGACTAGAGAGAGGCTTGACCGGGAACAGGGGAGGGTTGCAAACTCACAGCAGACATGAATGTGTCAGACGGAGAAAGGAGTAAGGAACTGAACTCAAGCCTCCATTTCCTCAGCAAAGCTTCTCTTCCACTCACCCTGCTGCACCGGGCATGGCTATGGCTGCTGCTTTGTAAATTATTTACTTTGGTGCTAAGGATGGAACTCAGGACTTTACATCTATTAGGCAAGCGTTCTGTCCGTGAGCCACACCCCTGGCCCCTCACTGATAGATTCCAGGCCAGTTCTCCGCCACTGAGCCAAGTCCCTGCCCCTGCTCTGCGGATGTCGACTGTCTCACCTTTACAGCAGCGTTGGTAGGAAGTGCTGCTTATGACCCCATGCTACAGAGTGGACAAGTGGGCAAAACGTGAGTTGCTAGGGTTCCGTGGCTGGTAGTGGCAGAATACAGCTAGGAGCCGGAAGTGTAACAGGCCCTGGCCAACCTAGAACAGGCCCCTTCGGTGAGCAGAGACTCAACCTCTGCCTCATCTTGCTAGAAATTTCAGCTTTTAAAGGAGAAACAGGAAATCTGTAGTTGCATGTGAAATTACACTTTAGAGAGTTGACTTCAGCTGGGAAAGTAGTCCAGTGGTAGAGCACTAGTTTAGCCTGCCTCTGCCTCCCGAGGGAAAGTAGTCCGGTGGCAGAGCACTAGTTTAGCCTGCCTCTGCCTCCCGAGTGCTGGGATTACAGGCGTGCTCCACCATGGCCTGGCTGAACTTCTGATTGTCTTGCCTCCATCTCCCAAGTGCTAGGGTTACAAGTGCGATGCCCTTTAACTTTGAAAGGACCATGCCACCAAACAGGATGTTGAAGTTAGAGCTGGGTTTGATGGCTCACACTTGGAATCCAGAACACAGGCAGTTAAGGCAAGGGGACCGTAAGTTTGAAGTCAGCCCTGGCCAGCAAATGGGTAAAGGTGCTTGCTGCTAAACCTGAGCTTGTTTCCTGGGACCCACGTAGTGGAAGGAGAGAACTGACTCCCCCGAGTTGCCCTCTGACCGGCACACATGAACCATGATCCTTGCACATGCACACATCCACACAATAAATAAATAAATAAATAAATAAATAAATAAATAAATAAAAACCCAAACAGCTAAAAACCCAAGTGCTCAATGTTGCCTGATGCCACAAGGAAGGAGGAAAGGAGAGGAGAGGAGATGCTTGAAGGGAGGATGGAGAGAAAGACCTACAGATGACAGTAACCATCCATTTGAGAAGCATCCGTGAGAAGCACATGCTGGATGCCAAGCTCTGTGCTGGTGCCGATGATCAGATCTGCACGGACACCAGTCTGCCTCGGGAGGGGCGTTCAGCTCCATTCTCATCTGTCCCGGCCTTTGAAGCAAATGTGCTGAGACAGGGATTGCTGAGCAGAGGCTGGGACCCCAACTCTGTGCCTGCCCCCTGTGATCTTGCCTCTGGAGTTCTCTGCTACCCAACTTTAAGGGGCAGCGCCTGAGGCCAAGGGATGTTTAGGGCCCCTCGTGCTCATGTCAGGCAAGGTGCTACTGTTCCTGAGAGTCACAGGCCTCTTCCTGAAGATCCCCAAACATGGTCATAGTGGGGTGTGGGTTTGACAGTCTGCGGGTGGTCACGTCTCTTTACACTGGCCTGTAATTTTGGGAGCGGCCACCAGGGGACAAGGTTGCCCCTGTCATACAGCATTGGATAGAAACCGGAGCGGAGCAGAGCTAGTGGCCAGTCAAGCGCCAACTTTGTCCTTTTTGACCTGCTCAGGTCCCCAGCATCCTTCCCCAGCATAGGTGTTGGGGCCTGCAGAACAACAGGACCCCCATTTCCCTGGGCAGAGTCGCAGAAAATTGGGTTGTATGGGAGCAAAAGTCTCAGCTGCCACCCTTCTTACCCGCCTCCCGCCCCATCTCCTCTGTTTCTCTCTCACCCATCATAGAACCTCATCACCTCATCGAACTGACTGATTCATTCCTGGTGACTTCTGCAGCCGCTTCCATGGCTGCACCTTGAACTTGCATTAAGTTTTAATTAAAGCCGTTACACCAGCCTTGCCCCTGGCTAAATGCAGCCGCGGGCACAGGGCACATAGATATTTAATACTCTGCCTCTCCCTGCTGATGGCACAGGGTGCCCAAGGGTGTACCCGAGCCATGCCCTGCTTGCAGCGATCTGCGAGCTTGCTTAAGTGTGCCCACAAGCCCTGAGCGGGGAGGCTGCGCAATAACTATTCATTGCCCTGGGTTAAGTGTGCCCAGGGGCACCGGTAAACTCAATGCAGTGATTAGCGATTGCTCCCAGGGAAGACTACCCGAGGTCCTGCTGAATGTCTGCAAGCCCTAAATATAGTCTGCTCGTGGCCATTTAAAGGGCATGGCGCGTTTGGCCTGTGCACGTGGTCCCACGTCCTTTCCCTTCTTTCTACAAAATGGCTCCCTCCACAGAAGAGCGCAGCCTCCAGGGCTGCCTTGTTGCTGTGGGGCTGGGGTGGAGAGACTAGAGGGAGGCTTTGGTGCTGACCTGGGAAATGTTGAATCCCTTTCCGTCTCCTTTCTCTCTGCTCCCTAAGTGAAGGCAGCACCTCCAAGGTGAGGGAATTACCGGCTCTCACACAACAGGCTCCCAGTGGGCTGTGCTGAGCTCTCTGTGGGGTGCTGAGCTCTCTGAGGCCAGGGGCTGCAGAGCTGAGGCACTGGCAAGATTGAGGGGGTAGGGGCTACCTCAACTCCACCTACTTATCTCTGGGACAGGAAGAATGAATTCTGCACCTGCTGGGGAAAGGGGAGACAACCCTATGTGGGAGAGGTGTCCAGACTCATTAGTCTTTTGAGGCTCAGGGTTCTTAGCTTTTAAGGAATGAGGGGAGGGGGTAGCTGCTCTCTGTAGGTCTATGATTCTGTCCTGTGCCTCAGTATCCCTGCCTATGCTTGCAGCAAAGGCAAAGGGAGTGAGGGTGGGTCGAGGCAATGGGAGGTAAGAGGAGGCTGTGCCATGGCTCAGTAGCTGAAGGCACTTCTGCCCAAGCCTAACAGCTTGCGTTCCATCTCCAGAACCTGCACGGCCGAGGAGAGATGACGCCCCTAAGTTGTCCTTGGACCCCTACATGCACACCGTGACAGATGCATGCCCACAACATACACACTGACATAATAAATACATAAATAATACAATAAAGGAAGTGTAGGCCAAAGCACAGATGGGTGCAGCTGGGGCCCAGGCCGGTCCCTTGCTGGCATCATGAGGTTCAGGTGCAGTGAGGGACCAGCTGTCCGGGTTTGCCTGAGAGCATCCTTATTTTAGCCCGAGATGATTGGGCATCCTAAGCATGGCACTTGGGTGAACACACGCCTCTACCTTTGCTCCTCGGAGTCCACAGGTAAAGGAAAGGCGATAAGAGAAGGGTGACTGGGGGCGAGATGAGGCGGGAGGTGTAGGCCTGGGAACCAGCCCACCACAAGCATCAGGGTCATGTGCACACCCAGCCTCTGCCTTGCCAGCTGTGTGCCACACGCTAGCTGCCCTGCTGGCCTGGCCCAGGGCAGCAGCTGAGGCGACATTTCCCTGGGTCTGTTGACACTTGAGTCCCAGAACAGAAATGATTTTCTTGTCTTAATGAGCAAACAGTCGGGCGGCACGACTCTCTCGCTGGACTCCTGCTGCGGTGATTGCAGAAGCGTCACCTCTGCTCACAGTTTGCAGCTGTTGCGTCCTCTCTGTTCCTTGCAGGTCTCTAGGCCCTTGCCTCCAAGGATCGACGGTGGACAGGTAGGTGAGGAAAGGGCATTGTTCTGGAAGGTTCTGCTAGGCCTGGTGCTGGGGAGGCTCTGAGGCAGGAGGTTGCCGCTTCCATGGTCCTTCTGTGGAGAATGTCCGTGGACAGTAGTTTTGTGGGCCTGGGTCATGGCAGAATGGGAACTCCCCCTGGCACCCTCTCACACATAGGCCTGAAGCTGTCTGGGGAAAAGAATCTGGTGGCACCCTGCTGGGGTAGAAAGCCTCTGGGTCCTGCCATGGTAAGATTCTCTCTGAAAGGTTCCCAGTGGCAGGAGCTGAATCCTTAGCAAGGCCACCCAGTCCTGTGTGGTTCACAGCCGTCCTGTGTGGTTCACAGCCGTCCTGTGTATTTATTTCCCTCACTCCTCTCCTCTTTCCTTTCCCTTCCTCTTCTCCTCTTCTTTAGTTTTGAGGCAGAATATATATATATATATATATATATATATATATATATATATATATATTCACTATATAACCCTGACTGGCTGGAATTTTCTATGTAAATCAGGCTGGCCTTGAACTCACAGAGATCCACCTACCTCTGCCTCCAGAGTGTTGGGATTAAAAGTATTTGCTACCACCGTCCAGCTTTTCTTTTTTTCTTTTTTTTTTTTTTTTTTGGTTTTTCGAGACAGGGTTTCTCTGTGGTTTTGGAGCCTGTCCTGGAACTAGCTCTTGTAGACCAGGCTGGTTTCGAACTCACAGAGATCCGCCTGCCTCTGCCTCCCAAGTGCTGGGATTAAAGGCGTGCGCCACCACCGCCCAGCCAGCTTTTCTTTTTTAATAGTTTGGGCGGGAAGTGGAATCAAACCCAGGGTGTGCTAGGCAATTACTCTACTAACTGAGCTATGCCCCAGTCCCTAGTTTCTATCGTTTGGAGACAAGATTTTACAACATAGCCCAGGCTGTCATTTAAATCATGTAAATCCCCCTGCTTCACACTCGCAAGTGTTAGGAACACAGCCATCACACCATTACACCAGGCACTCACTTTTTCTCCTGGTCTTAGGGGTTCTCACAGTCACCTGGGGAGAGCCTCCCTCACACCCCTTTCAGTCTTTGGAATCCTTGCATCCCATTTGTCTTAGAGTCTTCCCTCAGTCTGGACTGGGCTGTGCTTCTTCCTCGAACCTCTCGCGTCACTAGATACCAATCTTTATTCATAGCCCCCATTGATCGTGTCCCATTTCAGGCCACCAGTTACGCTGGCCTGGATGGTACAGAGGCTGAGTGACTGGCCCTGCTCTCGGGGGCCCAGTATGTTTATCTGTGCTCTAAACACCCCTGTAAGAGGTCGGCTTCCCTGGAATATAAGAGCATCAGCATGTTTAAGTTGCTGCCGTTCTACCCCTTGGTCAGCTGAGCCTTTCCATGACCTCGTCACTATCTTGAGTCCCACCCCCAAGTACCCATGATCCTTGACCCCAAATGAGCATGTCTCCTGGTCAGCTGGATTGTGACTTTGCCTTATGTCATCAGACCCCGTGGATGCTGTCCCTTCGAGGGGAGTTGGTCGCTTCTCTGGAGGACGCCAGCTTGATGGGATTAGATGTGGACATTGGTGCCACCACGGTCACCGTCCAAAGCCCACGACAAGAACTTCTTCAGAGACAGGAGGTCAGTGGTGGACAGTGGCCAGGCCGGGTTTGAGGGGGTCCCCACATCCTGGCACACCCCCAGGAGCACTTTGTCATCCCGCAGTGCCAGTTCACGTGTCCACCTGTGAGACTGGACAGATTTAGGCAGGCGGCTTTGAAAATTGGGCCCCATTAGCGTAAAGTGCTCTGCTCGGCAGATGAGGGGCTCCGGCAATCATGTATTCAGCGCGTCCTGATCATGGTGGCAGGATCATAATTGCCATCTCTTTAAATAGCCCAAAGTTGCCGTGTAAGAGAAGACGGCTCACATGACATTTGCTCCGAGCTTGCTTCCTGCTAAAAATATCCTGGCTAAATAATATTTCCTGGTTGTGCTGGAGCAACAGGCCCTGGCCTGGGTCCTGACTCTTGGGGCTTTGTTCAGAGATGAGATGAAAGGGCGGAGTAGAGAGGGTAGGCCCTTAAGGAGGGAGAGTGCCTCTAGAGGGAACAGTGGCCACAGTGGGGACCTCCCTGCTTCCCCAGGTATGGAACACTTCCCTGGAGCTCCTGCCACTCTGGCTGGTGAGCGGTTCCTATGCCTACTCCCTCAAGGCTGCGTGCCCGCTGGGTAAGATATAGGAGTGCCCCTGATGCCCACCTCTGATTTTAGCACTATCTGTCAACTCCTGTTTTCTCCCCTCTGCCAAACACCTTGTCCCCACTGTCCCATTCTGCTGCCTCTCTTCTTAGCGGAGTGTGAAGTGTGACTATGGACATGGGAGCAGTCTGAGCAGCGAGTTAAGTGTGACTGTGAACAGTGCTATCTACTGAGGGCTGCAGATCTGGGATCTGGGAACTTCTGGGGGCCCCAGGCAGGCTCTAGGGTCTGTGGTCATATTCTGCAAGACTTTGAGGCGATACCTCCCCTTCCCATGCACTTCTTCATTGTGAGGAGGCCAGGAATCTGGAAGCATTCTGCTGACCTCCAGGGAATCTGAAGGCTAAAGCTCTCACTGCGCAGTTAGATGGATCAAAGGCTTTGTCCTGTGAGGGCAGATGAGGAACACGGCAGGTTTGATGAGAATTTTATCATGAAGTAAGTCTCAAAATGAGAACTCTGGGGAGTCCAGCGGCTTTGGGGGATGTCCTTGCCAAATCCACACACTCCCGCCCTGTTGGTACTATTTGAAATATCTTTATTTGGAGGCAAATGCTTTTCATTTAGCAACTGCAGAGCCAGCTCAGAACACCTTATGAGAGGGCTGGTACAACAAAGTTCTTGCTAGAGTGTAAACAACTGATACAGGCTGTCTCCTACCAGCAGCTTGCCATGGGAGGGGCGCCAGGCAGGGCCATGAACTGCAGTCTTGGCCTTTGCCAGCCTGCTCCTGGCACTGCTTTTCCAGCAACCTTCTCGAATGGCAGTATTCTCCGAGAGCTAGACAGGGTGGCCCTTTTTTCTTTTCTTTTCTTTTCTTTTTTTCCTTTCCTTTCCTTTCCTTTCCCTTCCCTTCCCTTCCCTTCCCTTCCCCTTCCTTCCTTCCTTCCTTCCTTCCTTCCTTTCTCTTCCTTCCTCCCTTTCTCTTCCTTCCTCCCTCCCTCCCTTCCTGCTTTTACTGGGTCATCAAGTTCCAGAGTCCAAGTGAACTGAGTCGTGTGTGGGCTGGCCTTAGGTGTGGCTCTGGCTAAGACCCTGCATCCCCGTAGCTCATTTTCTGGGTCGCGTTTCCTTCTGGTTCCAGTGTCGTCCCAGCCAGGGTCGGAGGTCTCAGTTTACATCCCCAAGCAGAGACTGGGTCTGGTTAGGAGAGGACTCCGTGTGGAAGAGTCCCTGAGCCCCAGGTTCATGCGGGTGCACCAGTCCAACACCTTCACGGTGACCGAGGACAGAGACTTCGTGGTCGTCAGCATCCCAGCCCCGCTGCTGCTCCAGTACCAGGTCAGCATCCTGGTGTTATGGCCTTGCTTCTTCCTCAGAGACCTCTTGAATGGGCTGTTGGTTGAGCCCGAAGTCAGAAATTCAGAGAGCAGGTCTTTGGGGACTGGCTCTGTGCTGGCCTTACTGTTTATGTCCTAGAGGCTTTGCTTTGTTTAGGAGGTGGCCCCAGCAGGGACAGTCAGAGGACAAGGGATGTATCTCATCACATGGAACCAATGCCTTGCTGTCCCACAGCCATGCCCAGATGCCAGAGAATCCCCAGGGACACAAGCGTTCTACAGGGTGGACCTGAGCCTTGCCTTTGTGGAGATGATCTCCCCAGTACACTGGAGAGTGGAGAACTTTTTCCAGTGTGTGGGTAAGTGAGGAACCCTGAAAACACACTTGCTAGTGACAGGTACATGCCACCCATGGTCTCGCTCCCTGCCCTGGCTTCATTCTCCTTTGGCAGTATTCATTCTCTGGACCGAGAGCTCCCACATCTCAGCAACTGAGTGATTCTGTCAAGTGCGCTGCTGGAACTGGAGAGGCCTAGGTCCTGAGTGGTGAAAAGGGAGACAGAGGCGGAAGTGCATCAGCTTCCCAGCTCAGCCTCGACAGTGTGTGTATGTGTGTGCATGTGTATGTGTATGTGTGTTTTTGTGTAGGTGTGTGTGTGTGCATGTGTATGTGTGTGTGTATGCACATGGATATGGGAGCCACAGGATAATGTCCAGTGTCTACCTTACTCGTTCAACAGTCTCTCACTGGCCCTCGAGCCTACCTTGACAGCTGCTCTGACCAGCTAGCAAACGTTAAGGATCCTCTGTCTCTGTCCCCCTAGTACTAGAATTACAGGTGCACAGGACTTTAAGAACATTTACGTTTTTTGTTTTTGTTTGCTTGTTTTTTTTTTTTCAATTTTATGTGCCTAAGTGTTTTTCCTGCATGTTTTTTCCTGGTGCACAGGGAGTTGCTCTGGTCCCACGGAACTGGAATCACAGACAGTTGTGAGCCGCTGTGTGGGTGCTGGGAATTGAACCCAGGTCCTCTGGAAGAGCAGTCAGCGCTTTTAACCACTGACCCATCTCTCTGGCTCCACGGCCTTTTTATTTTTATTTCTCAAACAAGGGATCTAGATATCTGATCTCAGATCATTCTTACTCTGCTGTGGTAAACGCCTTACTGATTGATCTTTCTTTTTATTTTTTAATTAATTACTTAATTTTGTTTTTTTGAGATGGAGTTTCTCTGTATAACAGCTCTGGCTGTCCTGGAACTCACTCTGTAGACCAGGCTGGCTTTGAACTCACAGAGATCCGCCTGTCTCTGCCTCCCAAGTGCTGGGATTAAAGGCGTGCGCTGCCACTGCCCTGTTTGTTTCTAATTTTGAGACCAGGTCTTAGTGTGTAGCCTTGGCTGGTGTTAAATTCCCTCAGCCTACCAGGTGCTTGGTTTGCAGGCGTGTACCACTTCTCTGAGTGTTGTCTCAGGTTTTGTTTTGTTTGAGACAATCAGAGACTCATTTAGCCCAGGCTGGCCTTGAACTCACTACACAGTCAAAGATCACATTGAATTTCTGGCCCTTCTGCCTCCAGGCCTCAAGAGCTGAGGTTACAGGAAGCGGCCACTCTGGTAAGTTTATGAAGTACTGGGGATCAACCCAGGCTTCCTGTACTAGGCAACCACTCTGCCCACTGGGCTACATCCCTAGTTCCCACCTCGGCTTTTCTTTCCAATCTGGAACCTAAGGATCCTTAGAGCCTGTCACAACGCTGCATTAGACGCAGAGAGAACCTGGTACAGGATGTCCCATTTCCATTTTGGTGTGTCCCACCGTCTCTGTGTTAGCTCCAGTGCCTCAGGTCGGCCAGTGCCTCAACTGCTTGGCAGCGAGCCCGAGCCTCTGCACTGTGTCCTTCATCTGAGGCAAGTTGCCCTATAAACACCTTGCAAGCTCCCGCGTGAGGGATGCCACCGCCCTGTCTTGAAGGGGCTTTCGGTGAATGCTGGACAACCAGACAACCTGGTATTCACACATGCAAAACCACCAGGAGCAAAACCCATTCAGATCCAGCACGAGGAAATACACATAATTCACAAATGATGTCAATCACTTTCATCTCAGGACTTCCTAACTGTCCTCAATAGAAGACAGACGGGAAGGAGATTGAACTCAGATGTTAATAGTGCAAGAATGCCCCGTTACCAGGATATGATGTCTCGGTGCTGCATAAAAATGTAATTATATTCAGAACTATATTTAAAGATTAAAAGGGGGACTGCCTACCACATCTAGCCCCAAACTCAGAAACAAAGACAAAGGCAGGATGGGTTGGGGGGTGGGGCGTGAGGACGGGGTCGAGTTCTAACCGGCTGCTAAAAATGGAAATATTTCTCGAAAGTTTTTACATGTTTCGGCTGCTTTTGTTTTAGCAGTTTCCTGCGGCACTGATATTGATTTTGGAAGGGGGGGGGGGTTGGAACTCTACCGGGCCAGGATTCAGCAGGCACTGGCTATGGGAGAGAGAGCAGGGAGGGAGCAGAGGCCACCGGATGGGGTCTCTCCAGTAGCCTGTAAGGGGAGATAGGAGGCGTCTCTGGAGCCTTGTGGAGGGCAGGTGGACCCAGGAGGAGGTGCCAGCGATGAGATGGACTTTGTTATAGCCTCGGAAGGGTAGGTAGGTTGTTCACAGGGAGATAATGAATAAAATACGAAAATAGCAACAGCAATAAAAACATTTTAGGAGGATTTTTTTTTTCTCCCTCCCTGGAAAGATTTACACGGGGAAAGAATGTTCCCTTTCTGGTTTTATTAATTTCATATCAGCAGCCGGAATGAATCTCTCCCCTCCCTGGTCCCCAGTGCACCTCCTCTGTACCTCCTTGCAGTTTCCAGAGCTTTCTGTTCTTTTTATAGTCTCTGCTCTTCGCTCCTGCCTTTCCCTGCAGTCTAGAAGCCTGGGTGGAGATCAGGGGCTGCGGCTCATACAGTTTTCCTTCTTCAGCTTTTGCTTTTAGCAACCACTTACTTACAAGTGCCGGTTAGACCTGATTTTCACCAGGAATTTTTACAAAACGTCTTTCCTCTGTCAATCCGTGACTCGTGAGTCAGACTCTGAATGGGTCGCCTACGTGCCTGCAGTTCTGGGACTTTTCTTTTAGACTTTGGTTCATTTCAGTTTTTGCGGGTGGGTGTTTTGCCCGCACGTGTGTCTGTATACCATGTTTATGCCTGGTGCCCTCTGAGTCAGAGGAGGGCATCAGCTCTCCATGAAGTAGAGTTACAGGTGGTTGTGACAGACCATGTGGGCTCTGGGAACTGAACCCAGGTCCTCTGAAAGAGCAACAGGTGCTCTTAACCACCAAGCCATGTCTTCAGCCTCAGGATACAGATTTTTAAAAATCTCCCTCTCCCTTACAAAATGAAAACCAAACCCAAAGGGTGTTCAAGAGCATCCTAACAGTTTCAGGTGGCAGCTTCTGAGAACAATGGAGTAAGCAGGGTGCCCACCCCTGAAAAGAAAAGTCAATGGCAGTGGGGGTGTGGCCATGGCAGTGGGGGTGTAGCCGTGGCAGTGAGGGGTGCCTTCATCTTCCAAAGACTGGGTGAAGGTTAGCAAAATGGCTCAGCAGGTAAAGGTGCTTGCTGCCCAGCCTGCTAGCCTGAGTTCGATCTCCAGGACCCACGTGAGAAAAGGGAAGAAGTGACCTCTGACCTCTACATGTGCAGAGTGGCATGTGTAGTTTCCCTGTGATAAAACATCTCAAGACGTGAGTGAGAGGAGCTGGGTGGAAATGCTGGTGGGGTCAGGTCAGAAGCATAAACCAGTGAGGGTAAGGGCATCCAGGACCCAGGGGAAGGGGGGGCAAGGCAGCAGTGGGGTTTAGGATAAGAAGGAGTGGCAGGCAGTTCAGGCAGCAGGAGTAACCAGATTCCCCACAAAGAGACAGGCCTGACTTCTCCTGGGGACGCATCTGAGAGGGTTCTGCCTTGTAAGGAGGTAGACCTCGGTGGCCACGTCTGTCCATTGTTCTGTGTGAAGCTGGTGGTAGGAAGTGTTCTCTGGATCTGGGCATGGTGCCTCATGCCTGCGTTTGCAGAGCTTGAGGGGCTGAACAGGAGGAAGGCTGAGTTCGAGAACAGCCTAGGCTACTTATGGGAAGCCTATCTCAGATATAACCACACAACGACATCCCTACAAACCCTCACCATTTTAACCCACCTTGCAGCCTGCCCCAAGGATACTAAATGGTTGTACCGGACCTGTGGATGAGAAGTGTTGGGAGAATGCCACCAGCACCTGGTCCCCAGAGGCCAGGGATGCTGCTGACCATCTTAAAATGTACAAGATGCCTCCACCCCCCAACATGGTACAGCATGGTTTGGTCTAGGATATCAGCAGTGCTTGGCTGGCTAACCTGAGGATGGTCAGGCAGGCAACATTACCCATTTCTGATTGATTTCTGGGGTTGGACCGATCAATGTATTAAACCTCAAAATAGGAGATGGCTCTCCGATGAAGCCAGCTGGTAGCATCCAGGCTGGGCAGTGAATGGAGTCAGGAGATCTCTGCAGAAACCTGGGTTTATGTGTTTTAAGTTCATTAGTCTCTGTTCACTGAAACAGAGTCTCAGATCCAGACCAGCCAGGACCTTGCTCTCTAGTCAAGGATGAACTTGAACTTCTGATCCCTTTGCCAACACCTTCTGACTTGCTGGGGTTACCGGTGTGAACCACAGTACTTGGCTTATATCATTCTGGAGGCTGAACTCAGGGACTTGTGATGTTAAGCAAGCATTCCGCCAACTTAGCTGCGTTTCTAGCACAGATAATTTAATTTCAAAGCTCTGTGAGATTCAGACATGAGGACAGCTCCTAAGCCAGGGCTGGACACTGACCACCAGGCTTCTCTTCTTTGGGGAACGGATCAATGCTTCCCTAGGGGGAAGGCTGACTTCTGCTTTCCACTTGGAAGGGTCAAGAGAAGACTCACTTGTCTCAACAGCCACACCGAGGGCGACTCTACCCACCCTGTCCCCTGGATGGGAGACCGTTTCAGCGGAAGTGCCGCCGCCTGCTGCCTCTCCCCACTTCCAGATCCCGCGAGTGGCTGCTCAGGATGAGCCCCTTCGGCGTTTTGTGCACCAGTCTGCTAAAGAAACCACCGAGGCAAATCCACAGCCGTGTGCTCTGCATGCTGTTCCCTACCCAAGGGTCTGGTCCCCACGAGGCGGGGATGGCTTTAATTGGGCCTAAGCCCTTTCTCTCACTACCCTTTATTCACGGATAGCTACACTTTGACAACCCCTGGTCACATTTCTTCCTCAAACTCAGAATGTTTCCCAGGGAAAGCAGGGACCTAACATGCTCCACCTCGGGGCAGGGCCCTTGCATCTGTCCTGCTTGGCTCACATTGAAGAAGGTAGCGGTAGAAACAGCTGCTGTATTCACAAGGGGGTTGAAAACTGAGGCAGGCACACTCCCAACAGTGGAGGTGGGGGTCCTGGAGGCAGGCCTAGAAGCTCAGCCTGAGGTTCACAGGGTTGCTAGGACTGATGCTTTTCCTCTCTGTGCAGCTGGAACCAGCAGCACCGTTCTTGCAAACGGCTCCACCGGAAGGAGGAAGCTGGATGTCCACTGCCTTCTCTTCCACCAGTGCAAGCCAAGAGCATCGTGGTCCTCAGACTCCTCCAGAAAAGGCAGACTTAATTCCACATCTCTGGGCTCCAGCTACACTCTCCTCAGAGCACACGGAAGCTTCTCAGGCTGGCCCCAGACCTTCACAGGCGGTCTTCCTGTCTCACGCTTCCATGACCACACATTTGTCTTCAGAAGTCCCCTCTCCTCTGTGGCCTTCTTGGCGATCTGATGGGCCCCAAACGCTGCTGGGTTCTGAACCATCTGTTCTTCTCCTAACCAAAGTTCCAAGAGTCATGATGACTGAGCAGGACTCTGCCCAGCCGTCAGGCAGTCCCTTCCCACTGGCACAATTGTCAAGGGAGACTGTGAAATCAACAGAGTCCATGGATCCCACCCCAAGGGAGCCTGCCCACATCGGCGAGGAATTTCCACCATGGACAAGGCCCTTCAGGAGCCGCCTCAATGAAGAGGGGTTGATTTTCCACCATGCTCCCAGAAGGCCGCAGGAGATACTACCAATAAGCAAGGCTGAGGAGCCACTACAGAATGAGCAAGATCCATCTGGAGAAGGGGTCAGAGGGTACCTGGATCTTTCAACCTCAGAACCAAGGCAGGGCACAGAAGGGCTGGGACTCATTGTCTTGCCAGGGACTGATGTCAGATTCACTATCCAAAGAGGGAGACAGCCAGATGCCAGTGCCCACTTGGGGACCTCCAGTTCAGAGCTCCCTGGGAGGCACAGTGTGGGCTCAGCAGATCCTCAGATAGTACTTCCCCGGGACCTTCTGACTGCCACCTCTGAGAAGCCTGCAACCCCTTCTGAAGGTGCAGACAGTACCCTACAGCTCGAGTCAGTGCCTACATGGCCTGAGGCCTGGCCATCCACATACAGCCAGCCCCCTACCTCCACACACCCAAAGCCTTCTGGCTCCCCCAGAAAACAGATTGCTCTGCCCCAGTGAGGCTGGATTCCCCCTCCCTGATGGTCAGGAGTTGATGGAGGCCAGGTTGGCCCCAACCCCTGAGAGCCATCATCTTCCTGAGCTTTAGCGCATGTGGAGGGGGGGGGGGGTGCTCAAGAGGCCCCTGTGCTGAGCCTTTCTAGAGACTTCAGCAGTGAGTCAGAGTGTCCAGGGAGGGGAGGCACAAAGGGAAGGGAGGACGCGGTTTGGTATGTTCCTACTTCCCTTCAGAAGGCGGCTGCAACAGGACCAGAGCCCCCGGCCTCCCTGAGCTGGCCCAGCTGTACTTCACATCTCACTATTAAATCTGGGAAGGCATCTGGGCAGCGTGCAGGCCTATAGCCAGGCCCACCCGTGTCTAGGGCTCTGGCCCCAGTGTCTCCTCTTTAGCTTTGTAACCTTAGCAGGGCACTAACCTTCCTGAGCCTTAGTTTCCTCATCAAGGGAGGGGAAATGATACTCGTTCCTCCCCGGTGGGGTTATTGAAGGAGGTGAACAAGAATCACATAAAGCCTTGGGTACCGAGCCCCGAGCAAGCATGCTGGAATCCCCGGGGAGGGAGGATAGAGTGTCAGCACAAACTATGGTTTCTATGGCAGCAGCTGGTACCCTTCTGGCTTGGACAGACCCATTGACCTGCAGTGACCCAGAGCTCCCAAACTCAGTGGCCCAGGAGCCCAGCTGTGGCCTGGGCCGGAACCCCACTCCGTGCTTCCCTGCGAGGGCAATGCCTCACCCCCTCCAGGCCGACTGTGGCTGGAAGTGGGGTTTGAAACGCAGCCAAGAAGAGGAGGCTGGGCGGCCGTGCCCGCCCAGAACGCGAACTAAATAAATAAATAAATAATCAGGGTTGTCTTGGCTGATAAACGGTCCCTACCTCGAAGATGACTTCTCCCCCCTGCGTGCCCCCCTCCTTCCTCTTTCTCCGGGCAGATCCATCCCAGGCAAAAGCTTAATAGCCCCATTTAAGGCTTTTCCTTTTCACCACGGAATTGAGCTGCTCCTGCCATTACGGGGTTTTCAGCTTCTCTCTGAAATCAAATTACTGACTCCATTTAATTTTTTAAAAGCTCGGATGATTTCCCTTCTTGAATCCGAACCGTGACTCCAAGGCCAGCCCCCTCCCCTGCCCCCAACGAGGCGCGCCCCCTGTGGGTAACTGCTGCCCAGGGATGGTGGCCCCCGTGCCAAGGCAAGTCTGACACCTACAGGGGGAAGCCAATAGAAGGCAGCCTGGGTCCCACATCCTGGACACACCACTGGGTGGTCTTGGCTTCTCCTGGGTCTATGTCAACTCACAGGGATCCCACAATGGCAGACCTTCAGGTGCTAGTGAGGTCAGTGGTCAGAGCCCAGCCTGATGCACTGGGCTCTCGGTCATTCTGCAGACAATGCCCCCTGCCCCACCATGTGTGTTCAAGACTCCATCCCTTCACAGATGTCTATGGAGCCACTCCTCTGTACCAGGTACTATTCCACATGCAAGGAGACCCTCCTGACAGGGGAAAGTCCTCTCTCTCTCTTTCTTTCTCTCTCTTTCTCTCTCTCTCTCTCCCTCTCTCTCTCTTCTAGGGTTGGAGATGCAATAACCACATGGGGCAAAATCAGATGTTTCCCAGTGCTCATAAGAGAACCAAGCAAACAGCTGGGGGTGGGGCTTGCATTGAGTGACAGAACGCACTAAGGAGAAGGTCAGAGGTAAACTCAGAAAGAGCCAGGGGAGCCAGCCCAGTGGCACAGGTCTCTGACCCTAGCCCTCAGTATCTGAGGCCAGCATGGGGCTACAAATGAGAGCCTATCTCAAAAATGGTAAGCACAAACAATCCTTCCCACAGCCAAAAGAATAGAAATAGTCTGGTGAGGTCATCTAGGCTAAGTGACAGAAATGATAAGGGCGCTGAGATGGTCCGGGGACAGAAACGTCACTGGACAAGGCATTTGAGAGGATGGTGAAGAAGGGAAGGAACTGCAGGGCTTGGATGCCTAAAAGGAGACTGAGTTCCACTCTGCCCTCAGTGGGCATCTCATGAATCTAGACCTTTAGGAGACAAATGGCCTTAGATAGGGGCCTTATAAAGGTGGCCATTACTAGGTGGTTGGTCACAGGGACAAGAGCAGCAGCCAGGAGCATGGAGATCAGGGGTTAGCTCAGGACATGCCTGCCCTACTAGAGGGAAGTGATTCCCAAGGTCCCTTGTGGATCCTGTGCCACTCCTGTGTTCTAACAGGCATGAGATGTGTCTGCTAAGAAACAGGGCATCTGCCGGATCTTCACCCTTGCTACAGTGTTGCTCCTCGGAGTCATTTTGTGCCTTACTCTGTTTCTGCCACCGCTCACTCTTCCTCTTCTCCACTTCAAGGCCACCTAGTTTTGGGACATCACAGACCAAGGCATGAGCACACCCTGAAGATCTGTGAACTAGCGCCCTCTCCCGAGTCCTCTATGTGTGATACCACCTGCATCCTCAGACACCAGACGGAGGAGATGGAGTTAATGGAGTCATCCAGCTTAGGGTGAGGATATAGCTTAGTAGGTAGTGGCCTCACCTAGCACGAGGCTGTAGGTTCAATCCCCAGCAGTGGATAACTGGGTGTGGTGGCACATGCCTGGAATCCCAGCCCTCCAGAGGTGGATGCTCAGGGTCCTTTTAAGCTACCTGGCACATTCGAGACCAATGGCCAACGTGTGATAGACGAGACTGTGTCTAAATAGTAAAATCAAAGCAAGTCGCTATAAATGGTTCAGCAAGTCCCAAGGTGGGAGGAGCCTAGGCATGAACTGACTTGGTTCTGGGTGCCCTTTGCCGCCGGAACAAACCATAGGCAGACTTTCCCTGCCCCTTGCCTCCCTCGCCTCATTGCCTCAGAAGTGGGACAGTCTTCTTTAATTAGAAAGTGCTCGGGGTTCTGTGCAGGGCTCCTGTTCTCTTTTAACATGTGACAACGCCTACTCTGCGCCCCCTCCCCCACTCTTGATGTACCACGGCCAGAATGGTACCCATGACCAATGCTGGGGCTATGGCAGGCATATTCGTGAACATTGCCCCTGCCTTGGGGACATCTAATTCCGTACTGAGACCTCCCAGGCCTTGCAAGCATCTGTTTATGCCTGACATATCTATGTGCCGTGACGTCTTGGAAGGGGTGTTTGTACTAGGGTTGGGGCTGGGGGTCCTAGCCAGCCCAGGCTCTTCGATGTGATAGGACATCATAGGTGCCTTGGGTTCTCATCTTCTCCCCAGTGACTATGTGGAGTCCACAGTTAGTACGCATGCATTGTATTTCTCTCCCTGTCTGTTCAGTGGAGTGGTCAGCACAGGGCCAGGGCCCGCCTGGGTTTGCCTCTGTGAGCTCCAAGCCTGTGACTCTGGACTCAGATTTTCAAAGCTTCCTGTGATGGCTTCTGTCGCAGCATGCCTTTTTAGGGTTGGCCGCGAGTCTCTGTTGGGTATTTGACTCTTACTTAAACTGGCGCTGTAGCTATCAACTCAGTAATTCTCCAAATTACCGAGTAACCAGAGAGTCTGTGTGTGTGCTGGGGAGAGCACTCTTCTGGCTGTCAGGGGACCAGACTGGTCACGCCCAGGACTGGTGTGACCTTGAGCGGGTCAGTTCACTTGGATCCTGGATCCGCTGTGCAGTGTTGATGGAGGATGGCTGGAACCTCTGATCTAGGATAAGGCTGGTCGTCTGCTGGTAGAAATGAAGGTGCTGTGCAGGGTCCCTGGCCTTGCCAGTCCAGGCTGTGCGGTGTTCCCATGCCTCTGCTTCTTTCAGGTCTGGCTATATATATATGTGTGTGTGTGTGTGTGTGTGTGTGTGTGTGTGTGTGTGTGTGTGTAAGTGCATACGTGTAAGTGTGCTGTGTGCTGCTACAGACATCAGGGCAAGGCAGGGAGGATGACAACAGGGAAGGAAGGTTGTTCTCATGGACCCAGCCAGAGGTCACCTTTTCCTTTCTCCATAACCACTTCCTTTTCCTCCCCCAGCTTGTTCTTTGACAAATATCCAAAGACAGTCTTAAGACTCACTATGTAACTCAGCATGAACTTGAACCCCTGATCTTCCTGCCTCTCCTCCTGAGTCCTGGTCACATAAGGCTGGACATGGAACCCAAGGCTTTCTGCACGCTAGGCAAGAATTCTGCCATCTGGACTACATCTCAGCCCTCTCTCCTCTCTCCTCTCCTGAGACCTAGGGTGAGCCACCCCTCTTTCCAGCTCCATGGCCCTCAGACATGGTTCTCACAGTGAGGTTCCCAGCCAGCGACATCAGCATTCTCTGAAATATACTAGAAATGCAAATTACTAATTTATTTGAGACAGGGTGTCATGTAGGCCAGGCGACTCTTGCACCCACTGTGTAGCAGAGGCCTGCGCTTGAAACCCGATCCTCCTGTTTCCACCTCCCAGCCGATGAGATATATGACAGCCACTCCCCACCATGCTCAGTTTTTTTTGAGACAGGATTTCTCTGTGAAACAGCTCTAGCTCTCTTGGAACTCACTTTGTAGACCAGGCCGCCCTCGAACTCACAGAGATCCTCCTACCTCTGCCTTCCAAGTGCTGAGATTAAAGGCATGTGCCACCATTGCCTGGCAAAATGCAAATTCTTAAGCTGGGAATGTACCTCAGTTACCACTGTCTAGCATGGCCACTGCTGAAGAGAACAAATTGGACCACACCCCAGATGACAGATGGAGACATTCAGTCAGTCCAGTCTAGCAGTTTGTGTCCTAACAAGGCTCTAGAGGATTCGGCTGCCCCGTTGCACACTTGAAAACAAAAGCTTCAGAGAGGGAGAGAGGGAAAGAGGGAGACCTAACTCCCCTGCCTCCAGAATAAAGGTGACATTCTGTTTCCAAAGACTGGCCACCTCCGTCTGCATGCAGAACCACCCCCTTTGAGGAAGAAATGCTTCTGCCCATTTTATGGGTGAGGAAACTGAGGCTCGTGATCTTACCCAAGGTCACATAGTTGGAAGACCATGGTCTTGTTATT